CGACGCGACTGTTTATCTGACCAGTGCCGTACAATTTCTGTGTGGTACGAAACTATATAGTAATAAACATGCCTTTTTGCTGATTTATAGTCTCAAAAGATCATAACATAAACATACAATTATTGATTAAACTGAGATGTTTCGATTAACTTCTAGAAATATCATATWTGATTGACAAACTGTACAATAAGGAATGTAGGAAATCCATACGTTTTKTCTTTGCAAAGATTTGTACTTCGCACTTTTTCTATTGTTTGCAAMCTAATCAAGAAAAAAATGTTTCACGGGTTTACTGCGMCCAGTCCATCTCGCACATATAAGTCAAGTTGTATATTGTGTAKATTTTGATTGGGTTAAAAGTAGTTTCAGCTATCTTTATCTTTATCATTAGTTGAGCCGCTRAGTCTAATTTACGGTAAATATAATACTATAATCTCTCTACTTTACTTTACCGCGAGACCTCGTACGAAGAAAAACACTAATGATTTCTCCATATTTGGCAGGAAAAGGTACTTCAAACGCATTTATGATTTACCAGTTTATTGATGGATGTCCTAATAAATATACAATGAACTAATTATATATAAATATACAACTTTAAAAGTTGTAGTTCAACACTTTTAACATTAATTACATGCTACAAAGTACCCAGCCACCTTAACAACTTTAAACAAYTTACGTTGTACAGATTTACTTTCAAGTTTTCCTTAGATCAGACAAACTCAAGAAAGGGAAAACTTTTCACTCACTCACTCCTAGATCATAGACCCAAATGCCGTGATATTTAAAGCGCGAAAAAGCGCGAAAAAGTACTAACAAAAGAGTGCTAAATAGTGCAATATAGTGTAGATTWGACAATAGAAAACAAAGGAATTCGCATAATTCAGTACAATTTAAGTGTTTGCACTCTAGTTTTTGTTGATTATGCTATAAATATCGCGTGTTAAGTCACATGCATAAGGCTTCCATCGCATGGCTCGATCCATTAGCAAAGAAATTGGAATAATTTTGAATCAATCTAAAAAGGACGATTTCTATCATCTGCAACTTCCATTAGACCCAGATACTCCCTTATTCAGTCCATAAATGAAGAAGCAATTGCTGTTTGGCATGCGTCTTATTGTTGCTATCTTACTATCACTCGTGTTCTCTATTTTACCAAAATGTCCTTGGTAAAGTACTTCGATATTATTAATTTATTATTATCATTTGGTAATAAAATGTCAATGTGGCTGAACATTTTTTACAATTTAAACCGAGCGTGCCAGGAATCTTGCGTGATTCAATAGTCATGTGAAAGCGCACGCAYGGAGCCCAAGTTTACGCAACTAATTAAAGCAGGATTTCCCTGATTTTTCTGCTTCAGTTTTAAGCTGTCGTGTTCTGAGGAACTTTGCGTGAGCTCACTTCCTAATCATCGCACTAAGACATCCGTTTGAGTTTTTACTCATTCAATTTTTTACGAGCTTCAGCAGTTAATTTAATTAAATCTTGAGACATAGACATCACGATCGGCACGTATTTGTGCGTATAAACGAATTTATATTTATCTGTTCATGTTTGTAGATGGTTTTTCTTATTAAGTAATGTAAACACCGTTTTGAGCCTTAGAAAGTCGCACTTATGATTAAAAAGCAATAAGATGCATCACGTGATCCGATGGAAAGCGATGATTGGACAATCATACATGCATTATTTATGAGCCAGATTAAGCACATCGGATAAACACGGCTGCTATCTATAAGTACTGGCAATAGAACCAAAGTGGCGTGTTTAAGATAAATACCAAATCACAACGTGACTGCGTAAACGCTTTGAGAATAACATTCACTGGTGGATTTGCGGTAAAATCTCTGTGAGTAATTAATGAATTTATGGATTGAACGAAGAAAGAAAGAAAATAGTGGAAACTAGCGGTAAACTAGTGTGAGCTGCGTCGGTGTTTCTAAAGAAACATTTGTATAAAAAGATAAATTTAACACCTTAAAAAATAGGTGAAAGAACTTACTGACGTTTCGGACGTTAATCCTTCGTTGGAGTAAAGAGAAGGAAGGGGATATCCTATAGTTTAGGCTCCGTTGTTGTCCGTTGAGAATCATTTGACCAGTAATAACAAGTAAACGCCTGCA